CAAGGCCAATTACATTGCATATCAGTCTCTGGATCTTATCAATAACCTTGAGACAAAAGTTCGATCTATATAGTTTTTTGTTCTGTTTTGTTTTGTTTTCTCGTATTTTTCCAATTATTAAATAAGTTGTTGCATATACGGATCAGATATTACATTTAAATTGTATGAAGTTCGTGTTTTGAGTCAGCTATTTCAACTGGCTTGCTCATTATCAAGAACTAAATTTTGTCATTATCATAGGCAAAATCTCTCTCTCTCTCTCTCTCTCTATATATATATATATATATATATATATATATATATATATATATTATGTCATTCGCAGACAGTACTGTTTTGCTATATCACAGCTTCTCAGTGCGACTAGACATCCGAAGACTTCAAGCCCGGATCGAAACCCAAACGATCAGTCAGAGCTTCTACCACTGAGATATCTTCATTCAACAGAGAGAAACAACTAAATTTAGCGTATTGTTTTTACGAATGTAAACAAATGGCAATCAGCCGGAGTGCTCCAATTCATTTTACTGAAGAGGTTTGCATTAATGCTGGTGTCTGTTGTTTATAGAATTAGCTTATCACTCAACAGTGCTCAACTGAAATATATTTTCAAGAGCTAAATTATGTCATTCGCAGACAGTACTGTTTTGCTGTAATGAGAGCTGATGTACAAAACGACCTCAAGACTGTCGTTAAGTCGCGCAAAACATGTCCTGTCATTTAACCCCTCCAGAACTAAACTTCTCTCCATTAATCCTCTGAGTGACCCCTCTCTGCCTTCCATCAGTCATGGCTGATGCTAACCTCCAGGAAAGTGACTCGTTACACCTTCTCGCACTAACGTTCTCAGCTGACATGAAGTGGAAAGATTATATTGAATCCATTACAAGCTCAGCTGCTAAGAAAATCGGTTCACTGTGTCGTATAAGAAAGTTTTTCCCTCCGGAATTTATCTACAAGTCTACCATGTTTAGATTATTGCTGCCATACATGGTCCGATCTCCCTGCTATTTACCTGGAACTACTTGATAAGATCCAAAGAAGAATCAGCAATATTATTAGTCCTGATCTGGCGGCTCTGCTTTAGTCACTTGCCCAACGCCATAAGGTTGCTTCTCTGTGCCTTTTTTATAAATAATTTCATAGTAATTGAGCTCTTCGCTAGGGTACCTAGACTTTTGAATTTAAGCTCAGTATACTAGACTGGCGTCGAGAACTCATCAATTTACAGTTGAGCTGGCTAGATGTAAGTTCTATGCTAACAGTTTCTTTTCTCGCACTTATCGCTTGTGGAACTTCCTAATTCCTTCACACCCTGTAACCTCTGACTCTACTGTTACGGTTTTTTGGGTAGCGAGTCAGAATGACTTATTTCCCTTTATAGTCGACCAATGGAAGGTTGACCAATCAGAAGGCGCCCAACACTGTATTCGTCGTGTATGAAGGCGGCCATCTTGTTTCCTCTACCGGAAGGACCAAAGGCGACCAGGTGAAGGATGAACTACACTCTGTGATATCCACTGCGAACCTGCACTACGCTTTCCTACTGTCTCCGAAATATTCACTGCCACTGGATTCTATACTCGAGGACGACCGTCATGAAAATGTCTAACATCTACCACCTTGCTTTTGGTGATACGGATTATATATATATTATATATATATATATATATATATATATATATATATATAAAGACATTTTTATGAAGATTTCTAGTACATTCAGGCCGGTAAATGTTGTTTAATACTGTTTAATATAAAGAGAGCATTTACTTAAATATTTGTATCTAGAAAACGAACGTATAAACATAAAAAATGTCTTAAAATAATTGTCGGACTGTCCATTTTATTATATATATATATATATATATATATATATTTCATCTATCTTACATATATACCTTTCGTCCAGGTTGGGAATATTTCTGCAACATATGGTCGAATGCCCCTGTTATATATTTAGAGATTCTTGATAAAATCCAAAGAAAAAAACAGCAATATTATTCATCCTGACCTGAAATGTCGGATTCAGTGAATTTCTCATCGCCGTAACTTCTCTTTTTAATAATATTTCTGTTTCCTAATTCTTTCATACTCAGTAACACCCATGTGCCTCCAGTGGTTTTACGGTCTTGCATGGTGATATATATATATATATATATATATATATATATATATATATATATATATATATATATATATCGTCGAATGCTCCTGTTTATATATATATATATCGTCGAATGCTCCTGTCGCAAACGTTCCCCAGTATAATCTCAGTTATACCTCTCAGTATAATTTTCCTCAGTTCGACTCTGTCCTTTGAGGGAGCCGGTCCTGAGAGCGCTCTGCCCAAAGACAGAGACGCAACTCAGAGATGATAAATAATCGTGTGAGAAACTAATTGAGAGCTATTTGTACTTAATCAACCCCCACGAAGTAGGTTGTGACACAAGGTTGGTTTAATATGGGGAGCTGAGTTCGTACACGCGGGCAAGGAAGAAAAATTTCATGACTCAGTCGGTTGCACTGGCCTCGTTGCGTGCACCGATCGCTTTCTCTAGTGCAATGAGAGGGTGAGGCCTCGGGCAGCTGTTCTCCAGGACCGGCACCTCTCAGTATAATTTTCCTTAGTTGCGACTCTGTCCTTTGACAGAACCGGCCCTAAGCGCACTCTGCCCAAAGGCAGAGACACAACTGAGAGATGATAAATAATGTGTTTTAAACTACTTGAGAGAGCAATTTGTACTTACTCAACCCCCTCCCCAACACACACAAAACTTCAGATTGTGATTCAATGTCGTTTGTTAACGTAGGGACCCGAGTGTCTTCACTCGGGCCGCTGGTCTTAGCTGGTCAGAGCTGATCTAAGCTAGTCATATATGGTCCTAGCTGGTCATAGCCGGTCCAAGCTATTCATAGCCATGACACTATCAGCACAGAGACGGCTCCCTGTTCCCGGTAAGTATCAATGTGTTACAAATCCCATGAGAGAGCTGAGATTTACTTAACTCCACCTCTCAGTCAGGTTGTGACACAAGGTCAGTTTTTAACGTGGGAACCCGAGTGACTTTACTCGGGCCGCTAGTCTTAGCTTGCCCAGAGCTTGGTCAGAGCTGGTCTAAGTTAGTCCTAGCTGATCTTAGCTGGTCAGAGCCGATCCAAATTTATCATTCATAGTCATGATACTACCAGCACAGGGACGGATCCTGTGCCCGGTAAGATTTACTTTAGAGTATATATATATATATATATATATATATATATATATATATATATATATATATATGTATGTATGTATGTATAATAAAATAGTAATCCGTATGGAATTTCCGATGGGATATAGATCAAGGAGAGCTCTATGTCAGAGATAGAGCAAAATTATTATTAATTAATGAATATCAAACACTATATATATATATATATATATATATATATATATATATATATATATATAAAGGATTATAGAGAATCATATATATATATATATATATATATATGATTCTCTATAATCCTTTATAGAATGAGTGACAATCGAATACCAAAAGTTCCCTGTATAGACAGCTACACAGCATCAAAAGAAATGTAGGAAAACAATGACTCAAGTACAAAAACAAGCTGACGAACAATCTTGAAGCTGCCGGGGTACCATGTCAGACCTTTAAGCAAGTGTCTCTGGACTAAAATGAGTGGAGAGTATACCGCCATGATGATATTAACCATTTCGAACTTGAACGCCTTCAACTGCCTTAAGACCAACAACATTGACTCGTAGTCCACTATTTCTTACCCAATACGATCTGGTTGTATACCTGGAGTTATTTTCGCTAATTGGAGGGAAATGTGCCGCTCCCAATAAAATCGTTACCAATGCAAGCAGCTGCAATCACAACGTATGTGTGCCTGTGTGCGCAATCTCATACACACACACACACACACAAACACACACACACACATATATATATATATATATATATATATATATATATATATATATATATATATATATATATACTCATGTGTGAATAATGGCTGCCTGTATGCGTAACAGCTTCTTTGGCTCGTTAATTTCACCCTCTTTGATTTCAAACTCTTTCTTCATCACCAGACAAGCTCAATCGTCTACCTCTTCCACTCAACTTCGATTTCTCCGCTCGGTCAGTGTTATTCCGCCCACAATCACAGCACCAGTGTCTAAATAAGCGTCTCTTTCACGGCAGTCTACCTCGGGTGGTATTCAATACTCTAAACAGCCGCTAAGATACCATCAATTTCCCAACCCTTACTTTTTTTCTCTCTTTTCTCTTACTCCCCCTCTCTCTCCCTCTCTCTCCCCTCTCTCTCTCTCTCTCTCTCTCTCTCTCTCTCACTTACTTTCTCTCTCTCTGCAGGTCGGAGAATCGATAGCATAACCAAAAGTAAAACAAGTCAATGTTTACAGTACCAGATCACGAAGGGAAAAGTGCGCTCAACGCATGAGTACTGGAAGTTTTGATGCCTTCTGTTGGCGTCAGTCCGACAGCGCCTACGGCTAGAACTACCCGCGGCAGAATTCGAATTCGTAGTACAAGTAGCCGCCTGTCCATTTCCCATCTATGTTCACTCTTTTGCTTTTCTTTTCTTTTTTTCAAGACTTGTAGCTTCGATGTTAATATGGTTCACTGCATGTCTCGTTCACGGCAATATTGTTCATTGGATGATTCTCGAAATTTCTTTTCTTTGTGTTTTTTTTCTTCCTTTCTTTTGAGCTGTTTCTTATATTTACATGGAATCTTGCTACTGTTTTTTGTTTTCTTTACACTTAAATCTTTTTCCGAGACAACGGATTTATTGTGCGAAGTACTTGTTCTTTATCGTGCCTTCCATATATATATATATATATATGTGTGTGTTTGTGTGTGTGTGTGTTTGTGTGTGTGTGTGTTTGTGTGTATATATGTGTGTGTGAGTGTGTGTTTAGAGATAAACAGATAGAGTAATGTGAACTCTGATGGACTGATATGTTAATAGATGTGAACTGGGTTGGATAGATAGATAGATAGATAGATAGATAGATAGATAGATAGATAGATGTAATTGAATTGAGATAGATAGATAGATGTGAACTGAGATAGATAGATAGATAGATAGATAGATAGATAGATAGATAGATAGATAGATGTGAACTGAGATGGATAGATGTGAACTGAGATGGATAAATATATACATGTTAACAGATAGATAGATAGATAGATAGATAGATAGATAGATAGATGTGTACTGAGATGGATAGATAAATAGATTTGAACTTATGGCTTATCAAGCTTTTGCAAGTAAATTAAAGCCAGGGATATTTTTACATTGTAAAATGTTTTTGGAGATAATACTTAGCTGAGTATGGGAGGCGAAGTAGAACTCGACTCTCCGATTTCCAATTCTTAGATGTAATCCATTACACCACCCGCTTACAGCAACAGGAATTCCCAAGCGGTCATCCATCTAGGTACTGAGCAGGATCGATTTTGCTTCACTTCCCGGATCGTACGAGAACCAATGTTTCAACGTGACATTTTTATTGCATCAATCATTATTCCAGAGGGCACTTCATATTTGAAATAGACATTCCATTTGTATTTAATATTAAACAGTTTCCTTTTTTTCATTGTATAGTTTGATATCAAGAGGGAAAGAGTTGCTAGTAATAGATAAAATTATGACTTACAGACATTTCACGGTGAAACACAGGTTCTCGACTGATCACAGAAGTTAAACCACGTTGAACCTGGTCAGTCCTCAGATGCGTGACCTCTGGGAAAAACCAAGTGTTGTAAGGTATCCGACAGACACCGTAACACGACGATGGGTGCAATCTCGCGAGACTGAATACAGAAGACATCAATATGTAGCTGCTTCTGAATTGACAAGTCACATGACCTACCTACATGATCCTCACTCTGGGATTCGCCGAGATAAGTTCACTCGTCAGGCGACTCCAATGCGACCTTCAAACCGAGTTATATATGTCTATATTTTTGAGATGAGGTATTATGTACATTATTTACATTATTCGGACTATTGTCCTCATCTTTGTCGCCATATTTATCACAACGTTTCGGCCGTTGTATGCTCCGGACTTGTTCAGGTGGTTGGAATTTCGAACTGAACCCTTTATTTCGCTCACTGCGGAAAGGAATATAAAGGAGAGACAGGCCGCCCCCCTCAGAGTAAGGCTTCAAGAACACCAGAAAGCTGTAACACGGGGGAAAGTGGAAAAATCAGGCGTGGCTGACCACATATGGAGAGAGAAGGGAGATCACTGCCCTCTGTGGATCATGTTGAGATCTTAGACAAGGAACACCATTGGTAAATTCGTAAACTTAAGGAATCGGTACACATGCTAGGCCACAAAAATCTCCTGAGCCGACCAAGCATAGAAATATATACAATATGGGAACCAGTAATAAGGAGTGCCAGAGAAAAGCAATGATAACAACAAAGTTGCAATATGAGCTCTGGTAAAAACATGCATGTTAACAGCAAAATGAGCACTGGTAAAAATGATTACTGAAGACATTAGGTTTATAATACCCAGAAATTCATACCCAGATGTCCACAAGGACACATGGCACAGTGGGTAAAGGCGTTGGTTAGATCCTGTGAGTTCAATACCTGGTTAAGGTATTTTTCAGATGGAAAATTGACATCCATCAAACATGGCACGTGGAACTAGAACAGTCTACCCCAGTGAGCGAAATAAAGGGTTCAGTACGAAATTCCAACCACCTGAAGAAGGCCGAAACGTTGTGATAAATATGGCGACAAAGATGAGGACAATAGTCCGAATAATATAATGATGCTGAGAATACCAAGGACCGAACATGTGAGCGACAATTAGGTTTTAGAGAAAATGGGAACGAAAAAGACACTGATATTTAACATCAAAGAAATAGTTGAAATTTCTAGGGCACATAATGAAGAAAGAGTGCTTGGAAAATTTGATACTCACAGGACGGAATGAAGAAAGCGAGACTGAAGAAAACAACGTACAACCTACCAAACAAGCTCGAGTAAATGGATGGCGGAAAAACGTTTTAGAACTCAATTTATTAAGAGCGACAAAGGATAGAAATTATGGAGAGCCATGGTCGCTAACGTCCTGAAGGGACACGGGTCATAGGAGAAGAAGAATTCTTCATATATATATATATATATATATATATATATATATATAATCTCTCTCTTTCTGCGTGTGTGTGCTTGTGTGTGAAGTTTCCTTGATCATCCAATTAAATAAGTGCATTACCCTCACTAAATTAGCAACGCCTACGGGAAGCAATGGCATCTTTAGGCTTGAAATTTTAACGCACGATTTCTTCATGTATTCCTCAATTTTACCTTGCACCAACTTTAGAATGTATCTCTCCTTTAGTTTATATTTCGTTCAGAATATATATATATATATATATATATATATAATTCTCAAAATGTGTATATGTATGTATGAGTGTGTGATCGGATATTGTTTATGCATTTCCTCAGTTTTCATCCGATTTAGATTAATTTATATTTGGTTTGATAGTTAATTCTTCAGTGCCGGTTTTGAGTCCAAATTGTTGGCGACAATGGCTCTCCACTACTTCCTGTCCATTATAACTCTCTGCAACGTTTTACTATTTACTATCTGTTCTTGGATATATATCTTTCTTAAAAACCTTAATAAAAAATAAATAGCTCAAATTATTACAATAATTTTATTTATCATTATACAGTAATACAATTTCATTAACCCTCCCATTTGGGGATGTACTTCAGTTGTATCCAAATGTTACTAATATTGATTTTCGAGTGAGCTGACTTTAAACTTACACTGCTCCAGTTGAACAGCAAAAATTCACAGTAATGAAAGACTCGGTCAAAGACAGGTTATATTACTAGTATATATATATATATATATATATATATATATATATATATATATATATATATATATATATATATACAGACGCACCTACATATATGTGTGTGGAGTGAGTGTGTCATTGATATATACAGGAAATGAAACGTAATGTAATCGTGGCACAAACAGCCAACCACAACGACTCGGAAATTGCCAGCTTCTGAAAGAGGCCAGGTGAAGAAGGTGAACGACGGGTGGCCCTGCGCAGACCCAAATAACTAACGCGGATGATATTAATTTGACGCACATCAACGTAGGTATCCCTGACATTTTCATTGTACGATGTCCGATCTATATAATTAATATTCACCACTGAATTCAACATCGAATTAAATTCATTGACATGAATTTATATTGAACAAATATATGTACTTGTGTAAAATAAATATTTTTCAATAAGCAATGGATTTTATGAAATTTGAAAACGTGGTTCATCGTTGATAACTATGTACTATTACGTATTTCGAAAAATAAATATCAGTATTACACAGTTATCAATGGCGTAAGAATACTTTTAAACTATATAGATACAGAATGAGTTAAAATTAAAAATGGCGTCCGCTTCCTGTTTTTTTTTTTTTTTTTTGTTGTTGTTTTTTTTTACGGTTTTAATTAAGAACTTTAATTCTCTGCAATACAAATATTAAATATTGCAATACAAAATGACTTCCCAGAATCTTGGTGCAACGTTGTGACATACCTTGTAGTTACTAATAGGAAATTCGTTTGGCTTTCATCGGTGCCCAATAGTTTAAGTAACTTTGACGTTAACTTGTCTTAAAATCAAACAACTATTGTATGTGCTTACATCAATTGATCTTATATATATATATATATATATATATATATATATATATATATATATATATATATATATATATATATATATATAGATATATATATATATATATATATATATATATAGATAGAGAGAGAGAGAGAGAGAGAGAGAGAGAGAGAGAGTTGATATGACGTTTGCCTGATAACGTAACTGCCCGGGTTTCAATTCTCGGTAGTGGATGCGCACTGCTGATGAGTCCCAAATATAGGACGAAACAGCCGTCCAGTGCTTTCTGCATTCTGTTGAGTTTCTTCTAGATTCGATTAATTACTTAATTATAATTATCTCAAATCCTCCTAATTTTTATCACTTTATACTATATATATATATATATATATATATATATATATATATATATATATTACTATTATTGTTATTATTATTAATATTATTAATTAATTAATTAAAGAATATCAAACACTTTAAATTTTTAAGTTTAAAGTGTTGGATATTCTTTAATTAATAATTAATTTTGCTCTGTCTTTTGACATAGAGCTCTCCTTGGATCGATATCCTCCTGGAAATTCCATACGGAATATATGAATTTCTGGGACTTATAAAGTTAATGTCTTCAGTAACCATTTCCTACACAAATGTCCTTAAGGACACATGGCACAGTAGTTAAAGGCATTGGTTAGATCCAGTGACAGGACCTAAAGAGTTGTGAGTTCAATACTTGGTTAAGGTGGTGGAGAACTTGGAGAGGTGAATTAACAGGAGATAACTGATAACTGACATCCATTAAGCAGGGCACGTGGAACTAGAACAGTCTACCCCAGCGAGCGAAATAAAGGGTTCAGTTCGACATTCCAACCGGAGAAGACCGGGGCGTACAATGACCGAAAAAATGTTGTGATAAATATGGCAACAAAGATGAGGACAATAGTCCGAATAATGTAAATAGTGTACATAATACTATATCTCAGAAATATAGACAGATAATAATAAGTATACACAATGATGTCTATAATATTCATCTGAATGAATATATGCTACCTATATATATATATATGAAGAAATATAGACTTGTGTGTTATATTTATGGGATAAAGTGCTCAATATCAGAGATAGATCATATGTAAATATAAAAGTGAACACTGAAGTCAACACTAGAGGCGACAGGCTGTTTCATGATAGACGTGCCCGGACGATTGCGTCTAGCATGAAACAGGGTGTCACCTCTGAGTGCTGACTTCAATGTTCACTTTTATATATATATATATATATATATATATATATATATATATATATATATATATAACCTTGTGTTAAACAACTTTGATCTTCCTAATGTAGTATTCATTTATCTTAAAGGTTCAATCATAATGAAAAGATCGGTTTTCGTCTGACCACTTACGTTCGCAAATAGCGTCAAACCCAGAGTCACAAATTCACATCAATCCAACTATATATATATATATATATATATATATATATATATATATATATATATATATATATATATATATATAAATGAAATATACATTAAGAAGAGTACTAGCTTTGTAAGTTACATATATATATATAATAAAAAAAAAGTTAAGAAGAGGAGTAACTTCTAAGTTATATATATATATATATATATATATATATATATATATATATAAATGAAATATACATTAAGAAGAGTACTAGCTTTGTAAGTTATATATATATATAACTTAAAAAGTTAAGAAAGAGTAGTAGCTTTATATATATATATATATATATATATATATATATATAATATAAATGTAAAATATATATGTGTGTGTGTGTGTGTGTGTGTGTGTGTGTGTAAGTTAGAAAGCTACTACTCTTTTTAATGTATATTTCTTTTTTTAACTCTATAGTTTCTTCGTATTCAGCCGCGCCTCTTTTTTTTTCGTTTTGTCTCTATTCTCAACTAAGCGACTGTCATCTTTTCGAGTTTTCGAAACATAAGTTCACAGTGATGGTTTCGACTTTATTGCATCTCACCTGGAGACAAGAACAAAACGATATAAACCTGTCAGCCATATTTGCTTGCCCTCGATTTCTTCCATGTTGTTTCCATCTCTCTTCGATCTCTACACCTCTTTTCTGCCGTCTCGAACATCCTGATCCCCTCTCTCTCACACACACTCTCTCTCTCTCTTTCTCTCTCTCGTTACTTTCCCCTTTCTAGATCATTCTGTTGCGTTTTCACGCAAGTCAGAGAAATACGCCAACGCATGAATTCAGTCATTGTTAGTTTTTTTTTTGGTTTGTTTTTTTTTTAATGCCTGCCCTGCAGAAAGAGTGCAGCGTTTGCTACTTACCTGCTTCAGTCAATAATTTTATCCTCTCCGTTTATACAGAGACAACGATGATCGTCCTTGCATTATTTTTTTTTAAACATTGTTATTATTGCTGTAAGGATAACAATACCAACAGCGACAACACAAAGATGAAAAATAAATCGGCAAGAATAGTGTTGGGGGGAGAAGGTAAAGAAAAGAGGGGGAGAAGAACGGTACAGGACAAAGAAGAGAAATAGAAAGAAAATGCTGAGAGAAAGAGGAGGAGTTTGGTTGAAGGTGCAGGAAAATGGGGAAGAAGCAGATCCTGGAGAAATATGGAAGAAGAAGAAAGAAAGAAAGGAAAAAAGATAGAAGGATAACTAATTTGGAGAAGTTGAAAAAAATGAGAAAAATGATCAACAAAAAAGAAGAAAGGAAGAGTTGAAGAAAACAGTAGATGGAAGAGATTGAAAAAGACAGATTCTTGGAGTGTATGGGAAAAAAAGAACACTTTGGGGGAGGGGGCATTTAGAAGAAGAACTAGCAGGATGTGGGACAGTAAGATAAAGAAAGAGGAGAAAAGGAGAAGGTGGATGGGATTAGAATGCGGGTCGGGAGAGAGAGCGGAAGCACTAATAGATTGTAGAAAGAAGAAGAAGAAGAAGAAGAAGAAGAAGAAGAAGAAGGAAGAGAAAGAGAAGAAAAAACGACGACGGCTAGGATGAAGGAGGAAGAGACGGAAGGGGAGAAGGAGAATGATGATGATGATGATGATGATGATGATGATGATGATGATGATGATTAGGAGGAGGAGGAGGAAAACAATTAGAAAAAGAAAAATACGCCGACAATGAAAGAAGAAGAAGTAGACGATGAAGAAGTAAAAGAAGGAAGAGGCGGGAGAGAAGAAGGCGGAGGCGAAGGAAGAGAATTAGAAGACAACGACATAGAAGAAGAAGAAGAAGAAGAAGAAGAAGAAGAAGAAGAAGAAGAAGAAGAAGATGAGGACGACGACGAAGAAAAACGTATGCATACTTTCTGTCTGTAGAATTCCTGGTTGATTGGCTTTGCTACATATCAACACTTGTTATAATATTTAATGTCTCATTTAATCAGTTCATTTAATTATACTCGATTCTATAGCCAAATATTGGTCGCTTATATCAAAGTACATAGATCAATATATGCCTGTTCACGAATCAAGTAAATACTTACAGACTCAAATATAAACACCACTTTCTACCTAGCCGGGAATCAAATAAATGCCCATTAACTCAAATATAATTATTAAAAACGACTGATTTCAATATCAAATAACCTCTCAAGAGTTGAAATGTAAAATCAACTAACTCAGCGTCGGCTTACGGCCCCATCACGGTGAAACATCGGTTCCCGTACGATTACCGAAGTTAAGCAATGTCGAGCCTGGTCAGTACCAAAATGGGTGACGTCTTGGCAATGATATGTGCTGTAAATGTGGATGTGC